TAATATGTAATATATATTATATTATAATATGATATATTATAGTATTAATTGGCCTGATTTCAGTATTGTTGTGTCTCAGGGAATAGGGAGAAGGGGGTGGGGAACAGCCAGTTGATGGAACAGTCAGAACACACATATTTATCAGTCAAGTTTGCCATCTTATATGGGTGCTGTTTGTGCCACCCTAAAACAGTGACAGGAATGACATTAAGATCACTAATCACAGATCACCATAACAAATACAATAATGAAAAAGTTTGAAAGAGTGTGAGAGTTACTAAAATGTGACTCAGAGACAGGAAGTGAGCAAATGCTGTTGGAAAAGTGGTGCTGATAGACTTGCTCGATGCAGGGCTGCCGCAGGCCTTCAGTTCGCGAAAGGCAAGATCTGTGTGATGTCGGTGACGTGCAACAAGTAGAAGTGAGGTAAAACAAGGTCTGCCCCTGTGTGAACTGTCTCTGCAGTACGTACGCATTACTGAAGGAGTTAGAGGTCCCTTATAGAGTCTGTTGCTACTAGTATGTTTTAGATTTTGGATAAGAATAAGTTGAGTGGAACCCACTTAACTCCGTTTGAATGAAGGAAAAAAGGTGTGGTACCTTGTTATCACCTGGCATGCTCCCACGTGGTTCAGCCCCGTCCCTTGCTGGGGTAGTTGCAGCATCTGCCCTGTGTCCCTGTGCGTGTGCTTGTGCTGTGCTGCATTCTGTACTCAGCTCAACAGAGTAATCTGCTTAAAATATAAGTCAGGTTTGCTTTGTCCTGTGGCAGCTCAGAGTAAAGGCCAAAATCTCTACAAAGACCCGCAAGCCTCTCTACATGACCTGCCCTCCCCTGCTGCCTCTCCTCCTCCCTGTTGTGTCCCGCCCGGCTGTCTCTCTCACGCTGGTCCTCCACTGCAGGACTGCGCCTGTCCTTGCTCGCGGACCCTCAGGGAGGCCCACCCTCAGCACTCTGTTTAAGATGGATGATCACACCCCTCACCCCTTCTACCCTTGGTTTTGG